AATATCTACACGAACGATGGACACTAAAGGTATCCCGCTCTAGCGGGGACCAGAGCGAGAAGACGAAGGGAGAAAAAAGCGGGAGGAGAGAAAGAGAGAGAACGAATAGGTAGGTAAGGACACATAATAGCAGGATGTTACAACGCCCGTGTCCGGTACATAAGTATCTGGTTTCATAAATGAAAGTGTCTTCATTCATAGATACATATTTCCATACAATTGCGGCTATTGGTTCGTATCTTATGATATCACCGTTATGTGCGGGCAGTCCGGCATATATTACATATGTACATATAGCACCATTATATACAAATTCTTACTGTTGCATTAATGATAAAGTTGTTTAGATATCGCGCGATATTGGCACGCGAGCGCAAAAGGAAGAGCGCGCGTAAAAAAACACACGAGTTTGCGCGACGATCGGTTGGTGAAGAACGGAATAACGTTGCGTGTGCCCGCCCGACTTCGCTACAATAGAAAATATATTATAATGAATAAATATACGAAGACGAATTTACATTCCATTCCCATCGTAGAAATATATCGGCGTACTGATATTTCTAGAAAAGGCAAAAAGACTAAATTATGGAGATGGGATCGAGACGATACGATCTACATTTATATTTATACGGTAAAGATGGGCGGATTATTTCATGTTCCCCGGCTCATATATAAATCGAGCGGTCGACGTGAGGACGCACACCAGGACGCGCCCTTTACGTAGGAAGCCATCCTTTCCTAGCATCCACAGTCCACACAGGAAATCTCAGACGCACCCACCGAAACAAGCCCGCCCCTGTCGGCCGGAGCCGATTTAATGTTTCGTTTCCTCTACGACGATAAGGGGGCTACAATTTTATAGAAGCGCTAGAATAGCCCCGCGCGCACGAAGCACACTTGGAAAAACACAAGCGGTTACGCTCGCGAGCGACGTTGTAATTAGACCTCGGTTAAGGGCCACCACCCCACTAGCCAAAGGAAGTGTTGTGGAACAGGTGGGGTGAGAAGGCGTCGAAGGTATAAATTATATATGACGAGGATTATAAAGACGAAACTCTATAACAGATTTCTTCCACGGTCACAACACTGCGTATTTTAATTCCATATCTCATTTTAAGATGCGCGTTTCAGCGTAAAATAGATTTTAATATAAAATGTACAATTGTTTGAATTCTTCTCATATTAAAATTGCGTGTATGAGTTTTCAAATATATCAAGATTGTCTTTGTATGATTGTGAGAGAAATTTACAGCGGAGAAATCTACTTTCAAATCGGAATATACACATTTTCGGATAGAAAGCGCTTGGCCCCCTTTAAGAAATGTTTTATCTCGCAGCTATAGAAGTCTGGTTTCACGTTAGCGCGGAAAATTCGCGGCGAATCTGTCGGTGGGGTTGGCAGGAGGGTGGATAATGCGCAGGCACGAGATAGTAAATTTTATAAAATAATACCCTCCTCTATGCGGACTGCATATTCATTTTTCCGGAGGGGTCTCCCTCTGGGAGCGGGTCTCAGGGAAGGGGAAGGAAGAAGAGGAGGAGGAAGAGGAGGGTTGCTTGCCACTGCCCGGTTCGAGCCGCGTACATATGTATGAGCTTCTGGTGGACGCGCTGGTCATGCCTCGACGAATCGGGGGCTTTCTGCCCTTTATTTTTGCCAGCAGCGCGCCCTTTCCTCTCCCGAATAAATAGAGCCCGAAAGAAAAGAAGAGAAATGAGAATAAGCAAGCCGGATGATTAGCGTTCCCCGTCTTTCTTCCGAGTGCAAGCTGCATAACGATTTCTTCGCGGCTTCTGTCTATTCGATGAAGAAACCTACGCGTAACACTGTGCGCATATACCTCGGGTATATGCAGGTGTGCGAAAAAATCGCCTCTTTACGTATAACAAATGTCACTTTAAAACCGTAGGTACGTGACTCGGTAGAAACGCAGCGTTTCAAGAAAACACAATTGCACGAGGAAACTACAAGAAACTACGTTTACTTTCACCCACGGTGCCACAATTGTATCGTTTCGCCATATGAAGGAAAGCTTAATTTTCTAACATCAAGAGGCGAAGAAAGACATGAGATGAGTCCAATTTAAATCAATTTTTTAAAGTTTTTGTTTTTTTAAATAAGATTTCGCGAAATTTCCTTAAAGTCGCGTGGTTCTGCCTTGCAAAAAGCCATTTCCTAATACCAAACACGGAATTATCGTTAATATGGCATTTTCGTCGTTAACTATGTTATCGAGGCTGGCTTTTCTTCGACGTATGCCCAAGAAAAGCAACGCGCCCGCACGCTCGCTTGCATTAAAGAGCAATTAGCCGCGGCTCGCGAGCACGCTGATGCCCGGAAGCGATAGAAGCGGGCCGCGCGTGCCACCCTTACTTCTTCTTCTTCGTATGCGTGGCTTTGTATTATACATATGCTTGCACTTACCTTTCAGTAATGCGTCTTGCTTGCGAGCTCGCCTGACTCGAAGCAGTTCAGGTGGTATAAGGACTTCCATCTTTCTCGGCTCGCAAAATCCACGCCGCGCCGCTACCGTTTTTACCGTCTTCATCGGCAAGGAGCATGTTTCTCTCTTTCTTGCCCATGGAACTTTCCTAATGTACAAATAAAAATCGTCAGAGATCTAATAGTCTTGCAAGAACGAAAGGATATTTCCATAAATATAGAGGAAATCGTGACATTGTGATTTTACAATTAAATACAGCGATTTTATAAAGAAAAAATTTAAAATTACGAGAAAAGAGAATGTAAAGCGTAAAAAAACCAGAAACTATTACGTGCCTTCAGTCGTTCAGTCCGCTGTGACGACGTTTATTTCTTTTTCTCACACGCCTCGCATTTTCCCTCTTTCCTCATACGCTGCCCCTGCGGCGTTCATAGCCGCTCGCTCAATTACCGTCGCGGATAATCATTATCGCGGAAACTGTATCGCCGGGCCTCATTGCCCCAATCCTTAATTAGCTGCCGGCTAGACGGTAATTGGTACGAACCGGTGTCGAGTGGCCGATACGATGGCGAGAAGATACGAGCAAGGCAGCACATGGGCAATAACGTACGTCCTCTACGTCCTCGGTAGCCGTATCGAGTGCTGCAAAATTCATTCGACGTTAAATTAATGAATCGCAATTAATTTATACCTTAATAAATATGTCTCACGCGTTGCAGCCATTCAACAATCGTTCAAATCATATCAAGATTTAACGTATTCTCCTACACGATGTATCTCTTACGAAAGTGCTATTTTTCAAGACGAAATTGAACTGATTGTGATTGCAAAAGTGAGCTATATAAAAAATCTCCAAAAATGGAAAGCTATTTGTAATTTATAGTTATACTTAAGTAACTCGGCATTGAATTATGGCGTAAAATATAATCAATGTAAATGCACGTAACGCATATGTACATTACAGAAGTCGGACATAAATATAACCTAGAATTATTTTATAAGCGACACATGTGCAAATAAATGAGATACCTATGTATTTTTGTATTTCGCTTCGGTTCTTTCGGCTTAAAAGTAACGATGAATCGAAGATCGCAACATGCACATGAGTGCGCTCACGCACGGGTGATACTGTTAATTGCAATTTATACCTGGTCAGGTTAGAAACTTATATCACGAGGCAGGAAATCCCTCTCGTGTTTTGTTTATTAATTCTTAAAGATTAATTTTATAAGGTAACTTGTTTTAGAATATTAATTACCAGCTTATCGAGTCGAAGTTTGACATTACTCCTTGCGATACAGGTACCGTGCGAAGCCCGACCGATCCCGACCTGCCCGACATCAGACTACGGAGACGGAGTACGGAGTTACGCGGAGTACGGAAAGATTGAGCTTGGATTCAAATTTGACCAATCAGAGCAAAGTTCATTAAACTACAGTTTAATGCCGGCTGCGTCCCGGCATTCATTGTGAATAATCTATAGTTTACGTTACGTACGCTATAGATTTTACGTAAACTATAATAGATTTTCACTACTGGCGACAAATATCGGAGCGCAGCCTTAGTTTTCTTTATTCTGATTAATTAAATTTTAATAGCCAATCTCAATCCCCTAATCCGTAATGTGATAATACGTGCTTGATATAGGTAACATTTTCTTATTCTTCTTGCGTAGATATTTTTTCTTCAATACAATTGCTGTACTTTCTTCGTCTTAACATTCTTTTTTCAATGTTCTATTTCAGTTTCCGTAGAAAAATTGCCAAAAGTGGACGCTGATACCTCACATGGTCATATTACAATTTTGCGGGCAATCTGCACATTTTTCAATTTTTTTGGAGTGTACGCGCTGCAAGTACGGCAATTGTAAGGTAAGCCGCAGCAGCCTGGCTTTGTCTCGCACCGGTACCGAATCGGTACGGGGAAAAAAACAGCGGCCGATCGGACTGGGTCTGCGCGCGCGAGAGAGATATACCTGTCTACGTATAGCTACGCGCGGGGCAGTGCCGGCGATTATTGAGCGGGCAAAGATAAAAGGTCGGTTTCGTCTTCCCATAAAGCGAAAGTGAAGTAAACGTGCGGCACCACTTTATGCTGATCGATTTGTGGTGATTTTATATCTTCGCCTGTCTATACCGGCTATAGTTCTATACCGGTCGGTGGCAGAGCCTTGCGGACCGGTTCAAACAGGCCGCGATACTTTATATCTGCGGTATAAACGCGAAATTGAGCTTTACATATTCTGGACAGAAAGGGGCAAGCAAGGAGCACTCAAAGTGCTCGCACAGGAAATTTCTTTGTGCTGTCCATAGAACAGTCGATCGCGTTGGTCGGAACATTCTTCAGATCAATACCGATGTTACATGAAAGGTGGAAAAAATAAAAAAAAAAAACGATAATTTATTTCTCCTTGATATCAAAATTTGTCGAGATATGATGTATTTTTCGTTACAATCTTATTTTAATGGATATATTTCGTTTTTATTTTGGATATAGATACATAATAAAAAAATATATAGGAGCGATAATAAATTTATTAAAGTGACATATCTCACGTAAATACTATTACATTATAATTTCAGTTACATTACCCGTACCTCAAAAAATATATTTATAGATCTTTACAGATCTTGTTACACTTAGTCATAGTTTCATCCCTTTAACGAAAATAAATGTACATTATAAGCAACATAATCTCTTTCTGATGATTAAATTAAACATTTGAATATATTTTAGAAATTGCATACTTTTAAGTCTTACACTATCTGTTGCACATAACGTCGATCTTTTTATTATAAAACATCAATCTTATCGTTAATATCATTATATAACTATTAAGAGGTCCGTTTCTCATATAATTAGATTGTTAGAGCGTCTATAGAGAAATCTACTTCGTAGAAATATATAATTATAAAAGTCATTTTTCTCAAATAGGACACTTAGATTCAGAAGCAACCTCTGAATCTGTGGAAATATCTTCTGCAGTGAGAGCAAGAATTTCCTCACAGACGCGTTTGTAAACCCATGCATCACCCTTTAATCTTTTCCGACGAATGCCGACTAATCGTTTACCGTTCGGATCGATCTCTAAGAGGCAGACTTCCAATTCGAAAGAACAGGAATTCTGCGAAGAAATCGATTTCGCCGAATCTTTTTTACCTTCCGGAAAGGATTCTTCAGTTTCTCCTTGCAAAATGAATCTACGACGATATATGTTTTCGATAATAAAACAATATAGGAAATACAATGTTCAAGATAAAATTATAGTTACCCTTTTTGACGGCACATTATACCCTTTTGCCGAAGTGCTCTTCGTAATTTCGAGAGGACATGTTTTGGACAACCGCTGCATGTTGCAGATACGTTAGAAAGACCCTTTGATAACAAAATACAATTTACCGCGGTTTGCGAGATGAAAACTTCTTTCAATAATATTTTCATAATTTAAATGTGAGACATACCTTCCCCGACAATACATTTGGTTCATCCGGATCGGTGTTTTCGTTCTTCACTCGTCTTTTCGGTGTAAGAACATATCTTACTCGATTCAACCCTCGCTCTAACCCCATCATAACTTTTCTTGCACTACCGGGTGTAGATGTCTGAGGAACTCTAAAAAATATTATATTTTTGAACATCTTTATCGTATTTGTTATATTATTTTCATATTACTCATAAGCTTACTTGGAATCTGGTGTTGAGAATTGCGTTGGAGTAGCTGGTCTGTTTTCAAGCAGCCTCTTTGTTGGAATTACTGTAATATTATAAAAAGCCAAATTACATAAGCATAACTTCAATATTATTTATGTATTATTAACAAACTATACAGATAGGATTACTGAAAAGTTTAATACTCTTCTGAATGATAAGGTTTCAAATGTAGTGGTGCTTGGGAGATAGTGTATCTTCTAAGGAGTTTTGGGGAAGAATTCTTGTACACGGAAATTCTTAAGTCCAAATTGCGTTTGTTAGCAAGTCATTGCTCTTCTCGAGGTAATTATCTGCTTTTCGCGCGACTACTGTAATTTATCGCAGTCGGAAACTTTCATTAAAGTTTCTAATTAGGTGGTGCTAGCATCTCCTAATTAGAAGTAAACTTTAGAAAATATACTATGGAACTACCTACGATACCTGCGATACAACGCGTTTCCTAAACAATTGCACGCAAAATGTACGAAAACGTCAAAAACATAAAAAATCGACATATCTAGAAACATGAGATTGATATATTTATCATCGTGAAAAGTTTCTGAAGATAAAATTATGATAATTCAATAAAACTTAAAATGTTTTTGTTTGTAAAAAAACGATAAATAGGATAAAAAGGATTAGGATATTGTAATGATGATAGAGTAAAGTACCTGGTAAAGTACTTACCAGGCGGTGATACATCGTCACAGTCTCTACTTCGTAATCTTTTTCTTGTCGACGTATATGGTTCTATAAATTTATCTTCAGTTCTTTTAGGCAGTACATCATAAGTGACATCAATCGTTGGAGATGGCTCGTTGTTTGTTCTGCTTCTTGGAGAATGATCAAGTTTGGTTATAAAATTGTTGGCCATTATTTCACGTTGTGGAACATTTGTGCCATTCTATAGAGAGAACAAAATTTATACGATTAAATATATCAATCTCATATTGAAAAAAACATTTAACTTACCATTTCTTGCTTAAGATGAGACCTCATCGTAGATGTTAATTTCAATGAAAGTCCACGTAATTTTCTGTCAAGTAACAACAGATATGTAGCCGTTCTGTAATCGGTTCTATCACTCTGCACAAGTTTCTTCCATATATCTGTGCTATTCCGACCGCAAATGGCAGACATAGTACTCAATACCTCGTCATCTTTTTCAAACTAAACATTTTCATGAAAAAAAAAAGAAATTTTATAAAACATTTAAAGCTATAAAATCAATTTCTGTACACCAAATTCTTACTTCTATTCTGTGAATGAATGATATAGGCTTTCGAGAATTTCCTGTAATCCATGGATGACGACATAATTCGTGAATGGTGATTCTCTTTATCGGATTGATTTGTAACATTGACTTGATCAGTGTTTTACTATCATTGGACAACCAATACGGTTCCTCATATTTGCCAGTCTAGAACAAATTTGTAATTTATGTGTTTGTGTCATAATAGGCAGATGGCGATTGTAGAACTTACAAGTATTTTTTTATACAAGTTCTCTAAGTTATTGTCATCGAAAGGCAAAAAGCCACACAATAAGGCGTAAAGAAGAACTCCCATACTCCAGATATCAACTTCTGAGCCTGCAAAGAGATTTTGTATCTTTAATTAAATATTACATTACAGTGAAGTGTCAAAAACATTTGTGAAGCTCAGTTACCTAGATATTTCTTTCCCATTATAAGCTCTGGTGCAGCATACGTGGGAGATCCGCAAGAGGTATATAAATGTGCCTGAATTCCCATTTTGGGTTTTGCGCATAGTCCAAAGTCAATTAACTTTAAATTCTCATCTTTATCCAATAAAACATTTTCCTGTGAAAAAAAAAAGAATAAAAGAATAATTCTATTCAAATAATATAGATATATTGCAAAAGACAGAAAATATATTTACAGGCTTTAAATCTCTATGAGCATATCCCAAATTGTGCATGTATGCAACAGCAGACACTATTTGGCAAAAAAATTTGCGCGAGTCAGATTCCGACAATCGGTTTTTCTCAACTGCAATACAAACACAACAATGTCATTTTAATATTAACAGCTGTTGAAAATAACAAAAGATTCTTTACGTCGCGGTCGTATGTAACGCTTACCTATGTGATCAAACAGTTCTCCACCAGAACAATATTCCATCACCATGAAATAATGACTGTCCGTCTCTATCACTTGATACAGCCTACAGATGTGTTGATGCAGCAGTGTTTTAAGTGCCTCCACTTCGACCTTCACCCTTGGTAAATCTTCCTAGAATAAATAATTGTACAGTAAATATATATAGTTCAAGATAGAACAGAGAGAGAGAAAGCAATGTCGAAAGAAAGAAGGTGAAAGAAAATTACAAAGAAAAATCCCCTTTTCTTAAAAAAGACAAACAATTGAGATTTTACTTACACCTAACGCAGTCTTCTCCATAATCTTGATGGCAACCTTTTCGCCGGTAGCGACGTGAGTCGCGAGTTTGACTTTGGCGAAGCCACCGCTACCGATCGTCTTCTCCAGGTCGTACAGTCCTTTCAGGGCAGCGTATCGCACCATCGTCGGGCCCGGCACGAGAAATACGGGTCGTAAATGCCGGAGATGTGTCGCAGTCTCGCCTCTCGCCGCATCAACTTTCAAACCGCGGTTTCCTAACGTAAACAACTTTTGACGGCCAATCAAGACCTTGCTCGCCCAGCTCGCCCACCTTCCCCGTTCCCGTTTACAGTGGTGCCACGTCGGCCAACGTCGGCGTCTTAAGGTAGCGACACTAGCGACTGATAAAGTAGGTCTCCTACAATATTATTTACCGATTATCAAACGCGGAGTAGGAAGGAAATCACTTTGACCGCTTTGACGACGACGACGCATGTCGATGTTATTTTCGTAATTTTTTTGCATGAAAAATGACGACGGTCTGACGAGTGACGTCTGACTGGTCCGACAGACGGACCGTCGATCCACAAAATGTCTCGAGTTCCCGAAATGACTTATCGCTTTGTTGAGAAACATCGTGTTTGTTGAACCGTTGTTGTAATGGCACAATTCCTCCGAGTGTGCAAGCCGGAAATCTGTTGCTTGGCCAGAAGTTACGGGACTCAGAGGTTAGTGTCTTGTCTCATCACGTTATATTATAATATAATCGCTGTCAAACGATAATTTTTTTTTTTTTTTAGCTAGTCACTTTTTGTATTCTTTTACAATTCTTTTCTTTCCTTTGCCATCCTCTAATATATGGGATGGGAATATATATTTATTTAATTATTTTGTTCCGAGTGCAGAAAGTAATGTCATTCTACTAAAAGAAACAAATTTAATTACTGCCATGTAGCACGTTCCTTTTAAAGGTACCAGCAGAATCATTATGAAACTTTAAATGTTTCACCCGATGCGTCACAGAAAGACATCAGACAAGCTTTTATCAGGTTGTCAAAACGAGTATGTAACACTCTAGATAATTTGTTTTATATTTGGAGAATTTATTATAACTTTATTTTACTTCAGATAGTATGAAATGAATGTAAATGGCATACTTTTTGCTTTCGCTATTTTATATTTTACAATTGTATAAATTGCACATTTTGTTTTTGCTAGCTGCATCCTGATACTAGTGGAAAACAAGATCATGCTGATTTTGTCAAGTTGAACGAGGCATATACGATTCTGGGAAAGGAAAGTGCAAGGCGTCAATATGATTTTGAATTGAAATACTGTAGATACAATCCATCCTACACATATCATTCACAGAACACGTAAGTTAATATAATACATTAGAATATTGATTTGTTAAAAAAATGCTAATGATTGTGTAATGTGAAATTAAGTTGTATCTTGAGGATTTTTGCTTTTGCATTCCCGGATTTGTGCCTTCTACTGCATGTACATGTGGAAGCAAAAAATCTAATGCAATTAATGCAACTCCCATATTGTTGCAGACAATATGGGAGTCAATGGGAATATGAAGTACGTACGGCAGGAGGACCGTGGCCACCGTCTCAGCAAAAGCCAAATGCGTTTTTTGGCCTCCTAATAGCCCTGGTGTTTTGTGGGTTGGGGTTGCTACAACTTATTTTCATGTTCTATACCATTAAAGTGAGAAAGATAGTAACTTTGCGAAATGCTCGAATAGAGAACGAATACCAACAAATTCGAAACTCGGCACACACTAGAACCAATCAGTTTGTTATAGAAAATATAAATTCCGCAGAGGATCTGAACGAGTACCTGACGAAAGACGGTAATGAATGTTAGCAAAAATTTTATTAGAAATTAAAAAATAGCAGTTATTAGAGACATCAGTGTTTTTTTGCTTCTTTCTCTATCCTTTGCCTTCCTGTTATACTAAAGATAAATCCTATTATTGTATGATTTTTATACAGAGATGATTTTGGCTGCGGTCCACTTGACGCTACAAATGCTTCGAAGCATTCCTCTTCTCTTTTCTTTCAATGAAGAAAGAAGGAGAAGAAGAACGCTCCAAAGAATTTGTAGCGTCAAGTGGACCGCAGCCTTTATGGTGCGTCTCCACCTGCGAGTAATAACTCTCGAGAGCAAAAAGAAAGAGAGAGAGAGAGAAAGATACTCTCGAGAGTCTCTCTCTCTTTCTCTCTTTTTGCTCTCGAGAGTTCTTACTCGCAAGTGGACACGCACCATTATATTTATACTTTTTAGATTCTTTCTATAAGACCTTGTTTATCTAGTCATAATAAAGAAAATTTGAAAGCATGATACATTATAATCTCTTAACATCTTAAACCTATAAAACTAGGTACAGAATGTTTTTACCCAATGCCTCAATTAAGGGAAAAACTGTTACGATAAAGAAATAATTTTTATAATACAATATTTCATGTATATTTTACAATATTTTTTTTAGATATGGATATATTTTGATGCTACATACAAAAAAAATGAATTAAACATTCTCTATACTTCAACTTACATAATATACACATATCTATATATATCGGTGGTATTACATTTACACCAATAATATATTTGTTGCGCATGTAGACGTAGAAACACATCTATGCTATTATATTATATCTAATCGTTTTTCGAAATAGTTATTGTATTTACAATGATTAGCGTTACACTTATATGATGATATGCAATTTTCACATATATATTGTACAGTAAATTATAAAATATACTTTGTTTTCTACTAGCTCTCTCTTTGCAATGTAGATATCGGTATACATTTTTAATATGTGACGTGTCTTATTATTTTTTTTTCTTTCGTACTTTACATCAAACTTTTGGTCGTTCCAGACATACTCTCTCTTCAATATCACACACATCTTTAAACTTTATGTTGATAATTTCTTTATATATGCAACAACCGCCGTGTGAGGTGACGCGGGTGAAAAGATTGGCTTCCCGTCTTCATCCACGTAGTCGTTATAATTAAGATTGTATATCGCGTCGAAGCCAAGTCGCGCGCATAACTTACAGGAAAAAAAGGACGTGCAGTCTGCCCTGATATAATGAAATCCTTGCTCCTTTGCGATTTCCCTGTAATTCATAAGTAGGCCAAGAATATATCGCTCACTCTTGAATGCATCTCTCGTTCGAATTTGATCTCTAAACATTATAGATTTATAGATAATATTTACATCGACTTTTCTATGAGCGTTTTCCCGACACCTTTTCCTCTCCAATTTGTATCCACCGAAATTATTCTGACCTCTAGAACGTTGAAATCCCGATATTGTCCATTTATGTTTACACCTTTGTCTATATGGTGCAATAATCTTAGTATCTTTTTAAATTTCGCGTTTTTACACGATTGTATGTATTCTGGTTCTTCGTTCGATGGAGGATCCATTTTACCTGTAAAAGGTAAAAAAACTGTAAATCCACGTCTATCTACAGTTACATGATTAATTTATATTAAAAATTATAGTTAATAATCTGTTTAATAATAAATAAGTTAAACTATTTAATAATATTATTTATTAATAAGTTTTGGTTTATATATATATTAATACGCAATTATTAAGTTCAAAATCAATTAACAGTTTCTTCTTCTCATTATTTACAATCAATACAATCATAGATGATTTTTTTATCATTTCGAACAACAGTTTCTTCTCAATTCTTACATTTCAATATTCATTGAGAGCAAAGTCGAAAAATTATTTTAATAGATACGTTTTTGCATAATATAACACGACGTGCATACATATACATATAGTTATACGCCTTGGGATACATTTTGCATATATTATCAATTAACGACAGTTAACGACTATTAATTATTAAATTAGTAAATGATAAGCCAGGAATTAAATTAAGATATGATATGGAACTATGGTAAAAATATGTAACGTATGACAAAGGTGTTAAAAAATTCTTCAGTATACTAAGACTTCTATACAGGTTGATTTAATTTGTCCCGTCATTTGACATACAATTTAGATATCCTTTATAAAATGCTTTGATATTTTTGATGTGGAAAAATCAGTTCTATATTACTTAAATATTTGTATGTAATATGAATCGTATTATCCAACGAAAAAATTTCAAAGTATATCTGAATATAAAATCTCACTACCTAAACGTAAAATGCAGCATAGCTATATTTCCAGTTTTTAATGAAGGAATATATTGCCTGATTCTTGTAGTAGTATGTTACGTGATATCTCCTTTTTTTTATGAACTTTACAAATTAATATTCCGCACATATTAAAAGACAAAACGAGTGATAACTATGTAGATCCAGTTAATCTGTCTTTAATGTTAAACTGTGACGTATAAACCTATTATTACTGTGTATCGATAATATTTCTTTACTTGTAAATGTACTTTTTGAATCTTTTTATAGATATAATGTTTTCCTTTCTTCTCTTTGTTTCTTTTATTTAAAAATATTACTTTGAAGATTATTATAAGTTTTAAAAGATATCTTCTTTTTTTACTTTTAACAGCCTTGCTATTTTTGCTTAACGACTTAAGCTATTATCTACGTTATTATATCTATCCACATCGTTGATTTTAAATTGCATTTAAGTCTTTGATTAACATCTTCGCAGCACCGTTAGCGATTCGCACACGCGCGATGCGATAATTTATAAATGCGATTTTCGAATGTCGTGTTGTTTGTGCATTTTAATGTAGATACATATTTATCAGCAGGTGACGTGATGTAATTATCTATTTCGAGTCACAAAACCGGTGTCGGATAATAACTCACGGTATTATTCGAGATCCGTAGCATTTTACGTAACGTCAAACGGTATTATACCGTTGTATTTCTTCGGTCTTTTCTTTCCATGTGCATTTATTTGAATACGGTTGAGATACATTTCAAATTAACTGGTAATTTTTACATCTGCTCAAGCGAAACGATACAACCGTACGTATTTTAAGAGACTAAAGATAAATGTACATATTCGTATCTTTCTTTATTTTTTATATTTATATTAATGGATATGGATATATTCATCGAAAGGAGCATCGATTCAGATGTGATTAACAAATATAGCTTCTTTGGCTGCAAATATGAAAGATCAAACTAATCACGACAAGAAACAAGAACGATATTTAATAAAATATTACAAACGACAAATAGACGTTAGACAATTGTAAAATATTTTCAATCACTTTCACATTATCAACAAAATAAAAATATTTATTTAGCATTTTTGCGCAATAATTTAAAAATTCTGAGAACATGTGCTTGATAACTATAGCTCGGAAGATACAATGAGACGATTGATCTGATGACGTAAAACGGTAAAATGCACGAGAAATGAAATCCACTGGAAACGTGACGTGTGGCGTAATCGAACTATATATTTTCGAAGATTTGAGGAAAAAACATCGTCTCTATAAAAAAATTTCATCAAGTACAACTTTACCACTGAGCAGAACTCCAACAATTGCACCACTCGCGGAAACTGCCATCAGACTCAAATTATTTTCGAGCGACGAGTGGCTGCAGTAATCCTCCAATTCCATGCAAGTACTGTCTTCACCCTCTGGAATCAATTGGATGCTCTGATTGAGCGGCTCATCTCTGAAGAAGAATCTCCTTAGGAACTTCAGCACCTTCAGTTTGTCATCCTTATTAATTATCTCGATATGATAATCCATACCACCGTTCGATCCGTCAGCCGAATCGGCCAACTAAAATAAGAACATTACGAAAATGAGTGTGAGATTTTACGAAAATTATTTGACATTATTATAAGAGAAGAATGTGATATTCCGATACAATTTTTATATATTCATAGACATTAATGTTATTTCTTTAGAAATTACAAAAGGAAATTGAAAATGTTAGTCAATATTTTACAATATAGTGTCGATACGGGAGAAATTTGACGAGATATCTGATACATTTTTTTTATATCGAACGCTACTATTTGAAGATTGACGCATATTTTGATCAGAGCTAACCGTACCTTGAGATGGTCATAGTTAATCGGAACACGAGACGTGCATCACGCAATTCCAACAATAGGAAATGTAAATTCAGCGTAATTTGCGCGGAACGCTGCGACATGATCCTCGAATCGAGGGTTCAGAGGAGACTTTCATACACAGGGAAATGATGCGCCAGCTTTATTACACGCATCGCACGTCACGTTGACGCGCGTGAAACATTCTCGTTTATCAAACGCATTTTATCGCGATCGGTCATTGCGCGGTCAACGTCGCCCAACGCTAATTTGTCATTGATCTACTTCTAGACAGTGATTTGTAAGAATTGATAAGACTCCGCCTGCGTGCGGATGCGATATGCGTTTTGACACGACAGCTTCGCAAATGGCATAGAGATACAAAATAACGTGAGACTAAAAATTCTCTTTAAAAAAAAGAAAAAAAACAAAGTAGGACGTTTAGATATTTTCCATCAAAAATATTGAATCAGTTTTTGCATTTTGAACGGACATCTTCTGAGACGGTAACTTTGATGTTATGTCGCGATGTCATGACGCGTAATTTAGAACGCGAGGAAACCTTGTTGAATGCAAAACTCTTTTGCCTTGAATGTTACACCGTTATTGTTCGCGCGTGCAATTTGAAATGTCCTTCCTCTGATAAGTTATTTAATAATAATTTGCTAAATTATAAAATAATCGTTTGCTTCATATGCTAATAATATTTGTCGCAATTAAGGGAGCCAGCATCTGAACATTATGTCATTACGTTTGCAGAAGGATGCGATGTGAAGACGCGCGCTGTCATCATTCGAGTTACGTCATGTCAAAGGGAGCGCGTCGTTACTTACATTAAAAGATCTTACACACAGTTTCTTTCAACGTAATTAATAATCTGCATAATAATGTCTGTCCTACAATTACCGTGAGAAAATGATTAGATCATCGCACGTTTACGCGTACATCATCACCGTGCAAGACAAAGAGTGACTCTATCCCTTGGAGAAGTATCATTTACTTCGACGAAAGTGTCATATTCGATGACAAATTAACGGGTCAAAAGAAACGATATAATTTTGATACGATCAAACATTTCAACGCGATCAGTAATACGTGCGAAAACAATCTTCATGTTTGTTACGTGAAATAAAATAGTGATATATTCCAGAGAGAAAACGTCGCGAATACGTAATATGTAACATAAATAATAATAATAATAATAATAATAATAATAATAATAATAATAATAATAATTAAAAAAAAAAAAAAACCTAAAAAGTAAGAACCACAAAAGCACAGAAATAATGCTGTTGGGCTATCGCGTTCTTACAAAATATAATAATAATTGTTTATCTATCTGTCCAATTGGACTCGAGAGATGCAATCTTCCGTGTTTGCGGTTTTAAAAGCAGAGCCCTCAGAAATTCGACATATTACGCCAAATTCACCAAACATATTGATTCGGTTTTTAAAGTGTAACAATACACGCGGATTATTATTTTAATTTTCGTCTCGTTCAATTTAACTTCTTACCGAGTATTTCGTAATCCTCGGTGCATCTTTCGCAAAATTGGTAGTCTTGTCGCTGTCGATGCAAATCGCATCAAGCTGATTGGTTGCGCGTATGTTCTCCATGACGAACGATAAGATCCGTGAGCTAAATACCGCACTTGTGTCTTGAGAGTTTCAATACACGAATTGCAGAGAACAACTGTGGAAGCAAGTTCTCCAAGCGCTAACAACGCGATGCTCAGTTGTTGTCGACGAGGTGGTAATCTAACACTGTGCATTGCAATAGAACGCTGACAGTCTTATATACGCTCTGTAGGAGCAACAGGCATTCTTGCAGGTTCAGGGACAGATGGATATAGTTTAGGATACTTAGGCGACGCCCCGTTTTTTAATATCAAAGGATATCTAATCAGCCTTGGATCGACCTGCAATCATCGCGTAATTATGCCGTAGCTTTGTATAATATTGCAGTGATTTATTATGATAAACTGGATCTTATTTTTTACTCCAGTGAGGAGCGTTGCATTGCCAGAGGAGAAGCAAGAATATAAGCTTACAATTAGACGAAAAGTCGAGGAATCGAGGCAAACGCGTGGTTTGATCTTTTTCTATAATAATATAAAAATTGCAAATCTGTGCAATATGCCCTATAACAATTTGTATTTGTATCTCCAGTGAGAAAAATACGCATAAAGTTTAATGTCAAGATCACTTTATAACTTGGAATAATAACAGAATTTCATGTTTTCACCAGTCCAGCGTATAATTCTATATTGTATACATAAATAAAATTCTGACGATTTGCTATTAAATACTTGCAAAGTGTACAACATAAAAATGTGCACACGTGTTGCATATAAAATTAGAAAATAATTTCTATTTGACGCTGCCGTTTGTCGTGACACATTGGTACATAATGCAAGAGATAATATGCGTGCTTATCGATACAGCTGTCTAATTTTAACACGTACTTAATTGTCGATTCGCGTAAGATATTAGCAAAAACATCGAAAAGCAATTAAATTAGAATTAATATTTATTTTGCATTTGTATGGATGGTAAATAGATTCAACTGATGCTCGACTTGCCAATTTTTGTTGGAAAATAGTACGTCCTCATGTTTAACGAACAAATAGAAAATATTTAATTAGAGTCTAAATTAGACTTTATTACGCAATTTAAAACTTTAAATTCTAATAATCGAATGTTATTATTGTTATGTTGTATATCGTAATGTGTTTATTGTAATTTACACCGTATACCGCGGATATTGAAATTGTTTCCCCTAAATATATGCCTTGTCTGCACATTTTTATCTTATATCATATCGTATGCTGAGATTGTTTACGCCCTTATACGAGCAATTGTGCTATTGTGTAGAGAATGGAACATGCCAAAGACAACGACTCCTATCGATCTATCAGCTCGAAGGTCACTGATAGTCGTAACCATGCATATCTAGAATCGGACATGGTACCTTTGAAGACCGTCATAGTAAAGACCGTATAGTTCGAGGCTATCCTTGTCTTAAACATATATAACTGAGAGACTTCGCCTTATTATTACCTGTTGAGCCCAACGAGTATACGAGTATAAAAACACAATCTAAATATCCGGTTACTCGCCATCATAGATTTTTTCAAGTCTACGAAATCGATTTTTCTACAATGACAAAAACCGATAGAACGCTGTTTATTGGCTTCTATTACGATTGCTGACGGATTAAACATACTGTTCGTTTTCGTTGCAAACGATAAACTTTTAGCAAGCTGATACCGCTCAGCGACTCAGTGATTTAAATCGCGTGGAGCTGCAGCGAGAATTACAAAGCATCTTCATGGCCGTATGTTCGCGTATCGTGCGTCCTTTGATCGCGACACTCGATAAGCTACACAATCGATAAACGATCGACAATGAAATAATGGCCTCAATAAAATGGTCTCCCAACCATTCCTTGCAGCCTTTCAAATCGGATGCGGTAGCGAATCCTGAACGAACATGTTATGCTAGTTTCCGCATTCGATAGAAAGAGGGGACAGAACGGTGAATGGTAAAGTTTTGTTGTACGAAGAATTGCTCAACGGAAGCCTTTAGAAGACTTGATAGAAAGATTTAATAGAAAGAAACTGTCCTTGAAACACAGGGTGAATTGTATGATTCAACCGCCTTACGTCTGTTGTTAGTGAACCGATTCAAATTTTTATTGTCTCGAACAGTCATTAGCGAGCGGACTAATAAACCATTGCATTTTTATTTCTATGTATTTGCGAATAGCATTCATTTTTGAACATCGTATATCTTTTAGCGTGCCTGGTGTTAGACTGGCACGGAGCTCAATCGCCAGGTATCGATATCAGATGTTTGTCCATGTATCAAATATCCTACTGTTTTGTTTTATCATGTATAGGGGACATCTGTACACTCGTAATAGATTATTGGATTAATTATAAAATTAAGAAAAAAGAAGCTAAATGGGTAATATATACAAAAATTGACAATATTTGCTAAAAGATGTTTGTTGCAATTGAGAAAAAATATTAAATGATAAAAATATTATTAGAGCCAATAAATAAAGACGAAAAATAATGTAATAAAGAATCAGTCATGGAAATCATCACGCTTCATTTTCGAGTTATCGATTAAATCAAATCGATAAAAATAACCGTAAGTTTCTGGAATAGGAATAATCTATTTTGACTTTAATTGAACAGCAACTAATAATTGGTAATGTCGACTTTACGATGTCGAGGTCGACTCGATGTGCATTTATAAAGGCGATTTATTGGAGTATTTCAGCACTTAATGAGAAACAATTCCGTCATGTCGCAGCCCGTCTCACTACGATCGTAACCATATATGTTTCATTGGAACAGTTTTAGCAACCTGTCGGAGACCTTGAGTGAATGGTTAGGCTGGATTCGGGGAGTGTGCTATTAGCGCTATTTGTTTATTCTATCCTTATTTTACACCTGATGAGCGATAAAGATAGAATGATGCAATAGCGCTAACAGTGCGTTCCCCGATAGTGCGTATCGAATACGAGTATCGATTTAACATGCCTTTTTTTAGATAGGAAGGAAAGAAATGCATATATACATTGTTCATTATGCACAACTCTTCGGCGGGTGCACTTTCTGACGCACTTTTAATAGTCCAATTCCTTTTACTCATAATAAAAATAAAAGTGTGTATATCCTCGTATAGTAGGGGAAAATTGAATCATATACCAATGTAGAATCTTGTCCTATCTGTCCTGTTATTGCGGGAAATCAATTCCTCTTTACGAGGAATTGATCACCCGACTATTGGTTCTTATTAATTCATGCAATTCGAAGAAAGATGATAAATCCAAATTATTACCAAAAAATTCAGGTATTTAGAGAATGTAATATTATTCCTAATATACTGGATTTTTCTTTTTTCGATAAACCGAAACTCAAGTTGTGTATGTTAAAATTAAAGTCGTATTATATTAAATGTGTCGAGACAGACAAGTTGTCCTCGCGACGCGCGACGTGGCTATGTAATATGATCGTTTGTGAAGCTTGATGCACGATCACTTTAAAACTGGAAGATCGTATAACGAATAAATTACTCTAATAATTTAATTTACTCGCGAGATCGTTTAAACCGTCATTTGTTATCGAATTATTAAATAAAATTTCATGGAGACTATCGATATATTAATTTCGTGATATCATTTTAGTTATAAGATTGTTAAATCAAACTTAATCTGGCTTAATACAATTGTCGATATAGTAACTCAAGTATAATCTACAGTATAACAGTCTGTTTTCCAAGGCATTTAAGTCTATGGAACCTCGTTAGTATTATTTCGCGAGCTGATATTGACATGGAATCGCATGCGTGCTGCAGAAATTAAACTGTTTACTAGATAGACCGACGCGACAATGTAAACGTGCGTAAATGAGGAAGAAACAAATATATGTCGCGATAAGTCTGTGTACATGTTTTCAAAATGAATCAATTGCTCCTGTTTAGTCGGTCGTGGGAAACCAATGAAAAAAATCGATTTTTATTATTTTATCGATCGCGTTCTTGATTTCTATCTCAATAATTCTATCAAAATAAATCTACGTTTGACGCCGCATAAGAAGGCATTGACAAAAAACATTCGATTTACTTTACTATGTTAATTCATTTATTGAGTAAGTTCACGTTAAGTATTTAATGCGAAAGACAACGCACATTTTCATTATATGTAACATTTTTTAAATTTTATTATATATTATCTTACGTCTATTTTTTTAAATACCAACCAATATGAAAAATACGCATATAAAATCGAAAGTACTTGACACGGTTTTATTGCACCGAAAGTTCAAGATTACTTTTAGCGTATCGTATATGTAATAAACACATTTATTGAAGATAATCGAAATGAGACTCGCGCGACAGCAATTTATTTGAAACTTTTATAAAAGCCACTAGAGTTAATACGTGCTCGATAGCTAATTTCGAGCCGACTGACAATGAGTAGTCGCGTGACGCGGACGAAAATTTGTCCGAATGAAGCGCGATTAGCGCATTATCTGCATTTATCACGTATCTGCACACGCGATCTGCACCAGAACGAGATATGCGGTACCCACTTGACTGCACCTGCGATAACACCGTTCCGCTTCTGTTGCTCTAGAATTCTAGACTCTCTAGAGCAACGCTCTATCCTATTACACGCGCGCATACGCAGATGCGGATGCTGAGATCCTGGTCAGTGATGGGATCTCTTATCGCGCGATAGTTTTGTGCACCAGCTAACAACTTGCCGAAAACGACTTATCGAACTATAATAGAAATACACAAGCGAAGCCGGCGAAGTGGCAGTCGCGCACGATTCTAATGATGCATCGCAACCTAATGTTATTACTAGGAACTATTATGGTCGTCATCTTTATCGATGCAATTGCTACAGTTTGCTTGACAGCTCGTGTTTAAATGTGTGATAAAGCGCTATCGTTCCATGAGGCATTAACATTTTACATGACGCAAATGTCCCGTTGCATACTCGTCGATCGGTGACCAATACGACAATATCTGGTGTCTCAGATTTACCGAGCTGCCTTTCGTTTAACAACTCTCTGAATTTAGTTCTGTGAATACGTTCTTCTCTATTAAAAATTTTATAGCGCACTATCTTTGCAACCACTGTTCATACTCGGAGAAACAGATTACTATAGGATTAATCTCTCCTTAGTTTTTAAGAAAAAATAACTCGGATATATTATTACACTGTTATATTACTTACAGAGTTGTAGATGACAAGAAATAATAAGTATAGACCACCCCTTATATTATATTGATAGTATCACGATCGCGTGGCACATGCTGCTCAAATTGATCGTTAATGCGTAGGAATTGAATCTGATTGAGTCTGACG